GTTGAAATGATATCTGCACTTCTATGTTTATTGCTGCACTGTTCACAGTAGCCAAAATTTGGAAAAAACCGAGTGCCTGAGAACAGATGACTGGTTGAAGAAGCTTTGGTACAACTACACAATGGAATACTATGCAGCTGTTAGAACAGATGAAGTCATGAAATTGACATCCAAGTGGTTCTGCTTAGAAAATATCATGCTAAGTGAAATGAGCCCGAAAGAGAGGGACAGACATAGAAAGACTCCAATCAGCTGGGGAATATAAAGTAACAGAATGGGAGTCAAACCCCCAAGAATAGTTGAGATAAGTACCAGGAGGTCTGCTCCAGGGCTTGGAAACTGGCGTCACATGCTGGGGGAAAAGGCAGCTCAGATAGAGAAGGGAACACCAAGTAAAGGATGTTTGGAGGACTTGCTTGGGATGCTAGATGCGTGCTGAAAGTAGACTATAGACTGAACATGATGGCCACTCAATGTCTCTATTGCAAACTACAACACCCTAAATGAAAGAGAGATTAAAAGGGAATGCCCTGCCACAGAGGCGAGGTGGGGGGATGGGGGGTGGGGGTGGGAGGGCTACTAGGATCATTGGTGGTGAAGAATGGGGACTGGTGGAGGGATGGGTACTCAATTATTGTGTAACTGAAACCCAATCACGAAAGTTTGTAGGTCGACAATGGTACCTCATGGTATTCCACTAATAAAAAAAATAATAAAATAATATATTAATTTGCATGTTATAAACTTTAAAAAGAAGTGATGAACAAGAACAACTTCCAAAGTCCCATGTAGCTCTAACCAAAATTATTTGGTAGAACGATTATATAGCCGGTTGAGAGAGAGAGAGAAAAAGAGAGAGAGAGAGAATAAAAAACAACAAAAGACAAAGAACCTGTTTCTAGGTTCCTAGTGGGCGGGTGAAAGGCCCCCTGAGAGTGGGAGCACCCATTCCCTGCCTTTGGCTCCCCAGCTCCTTTGGTGGTGATAGAGCTTCCGCTTACGGAGTTATAGAATGGAGGCTGGAAAGGGTGCATATGACTCACTTTCAAAAATTAAATCATTTTTTTTCATAATGCAAATGAAAAGTGGCCCTAAATGTAGATTTGCCAAGCTGAGAATGACTGGTGAGGTCATTTTTAATGGGAGATTACATTTCACCGTGGTTGATTTTTGCCTGATTTATTGCTATTAACTTCTGAAGCAAGGCCAGCTGATGGAGGTGCTGGCAAGAGCTGGAGTCCAGACTGCACACAGGGATTGAGTCAGTTCCTGGCTGGCTCTGAGCTGGCGGGGCCAGCACTGCATTCCCAGGGGTGCTCTGCGGGGCCATCTGATACAGGGAGCTGCCTGTTGCTATCGGGTGTTCTAGGAGAAACATTACCTTGTCTTGCACACAAAACAGAATAGCTGGAGACCCTTTATCTTTTAAGAGGAAATATGTCCGGGTGCCATAGTGTCAAATCAAGCCTGAGCACATGAAGATGGTTATCTTAGCTCTTGGCAACAGAATTGGACAAGGAGATAGACAAACTACCAGTGGGAGAAGCATGCAGGCCTTGCCGGGCCCGCAGCTCAACTGGGTCTCCCAGGAAGATGCATCAGGCAGAACCTGTAGGTGTGTCTGGAAGCAGAGCCCCCACTGAGGTTTTGCTGGTGGAGCAGAAAGACATAGCCTCCCTAGTTGGTCCTCATATCCGAAATAGTTAGATGGACCCCTATGAAGGAAAGAATGAGACTTCTGGCTTTGGTAGGAGAGATCGGAATAGAAAATAACCCTCATTGCATCCTGCTTCCCATCCTGGCCTGGGAAGAAGGAAGGAGGATGAGGACTGCTCTTTCTCAATCTGATGCTTTGACCCTGGAGCTTTGAGGAGAGGTTTTGACTAGACAGAGAGAGGATGGGAGGTGGAAGAAGTGAGATCAGAGCCCTCCCTGCAGATGGATTCCGCTGGTATCCCAAGGATCCTGTTTGGTAGGACTCTGCAGAAACAAGGAGCCTCGTTTTGGCACCTTCTTAATACAGCAGACACATGGCTGTGAGCCGGTTTTTGTTAATAGAGTTTTATTGGAACACAGCCACACCCGTTCATTCCCCCCATTGTCTCAGCAGCTTAGGTTGCCACAACAGCCGAGTGGGGTGGTTTCCACAGAGACTGGGTGGCCTGTAGCGCCGAAAATATTTACTATCTGCCGGAAAATATTGCTGATCTTTGGCATAAGATATTTCTGTTGCTTGACACTTTTCACGTAGAGACCCACATGTCAGCATCCAGGTTTTGCTCACTGGTTCACGTGCACTTGCTAGCTTATTGGCTGAGTGAGATTCATATTCGGTGTGTGAAGAAAGAGGAGTGTTTCTTCTTAAACATCCTTTAAGTTTCTGATCAGCTTCATTTCTTGGACCCTTTACTGTGTATTTGCTAGGCAAGTGTTGGCAAACCAAACAAGAATCTGAAGTTGATAGGAGCAGCATCGTTGAAAAGCACTTGCTGTTCTTTGGATAGGCAGCCCGTTTGTCAGCGGCTTCTGTGGCAACTCTCTTTTGCGAAGGAAAGAATGGGCACTGTCGGGAGAGCTACCACTTCCAGTCTGCGTTTATTTCACAAACACAGAGAATGCACTTCCAGAAGCAGCTGCGCATTTGAAATATTGATTTCCTGGATATTACAAAAATTGTGTGTAATTACTTAGCAAATGCCAACTTTTAAGCACCTGCTGTGGTCTGTGGTGTCAGCTGTTGGGAATTGCAGACCAGACTTTTTACAAATGTTAACTTATTTAATAAGAGCTGAATGAAAGAGAGGTGTAGTTACTCTGACTTTGCAGATGGGGAAACAGAGGTATCAATGAGATCCAAGGACAGTGCTCCCCAATCTAATTGTACACTCTCGAGAGTCTGAACAAACTGTAAACACTGAATCAACAGCTAAGAGCTTCTTACTCTCAAAAGGACTGATTTTCAAGGGACAGGTCCAACTCAGCACCCTTTTAATCCCAACCTCTCTTCTAGCCCCCGAAGCCAAGACAGGAGCTGGAGCAATAGCACAGTGAGTAGGGCATTTGCCTTACACGCAGCTGACCCAACCCTGCATCCCATATGATCCCCCTGAGCACCGCCAGGGGTAATTCCTGAGTGCAGAGCCAAGAGTAACCCCTGTGCATCACCAGGAGAGACCCCAAAACACACACACAAAAAGAGAAGCCAATGCAATGTTTAAATATGTCTGGCACGTGGTACTGTCTTGGGACCTGATTTCTCATGAATGCTTTGTATAGACGCAATCTGCACCAAAAGTTAGAATGTTTTCCCAGCATTTCTGGGAAATGTAATAGGCCCCTAAAAAGAAGCATATAAGTTTAGGGTTTTCTTAGCTTCCAACAAAGGTTCTTCTGTCCTGAGAAATTCAGTGATAACCATGCTTCCTAAAAATCCTTTAGGACTGCTCCATCCACTTAAATAAAGATCAGAATCTTTATTTTTCACTGTTTTTACGATTGAAATTTTGGACTAGAAAGATCGTAGGGGGGTTAGGGTGCTTGCTTTGCTCCAGGTCCATTCTCAGCACCACATATGGTTCCCTAAGCACTGCTAGGATCACTGAACCACATGCAGTCCCCAGCACTGGCATGTTTGATACACACCAACCCCCACTTCCCAACACCATCCCCCCCCCACACACACACAAATTATTAAAATACCAGGGTCTTTATTAGGGTACAAGGACTTTCCTGTTTGAACACTGATTGCTTCTGACTGAATTTTTTTTTTTTTTTTGCTTTTTGTGGGGGGGGACACCTGACCATGATCAGGGTTTACTCCTGGCTCTGCACTGAGGAATTATTCCTGGTGGTGCTCAGGTGACCATATAGGATGCCAGGGATCGAACCCAGGTTGGCTGTGTACAAGGCAAATGCACTACATGCTGTACTATCACTCTAGCCCCTTCTGACTGATCATAATTCCAGTCAGCATGTCTCTGCCTTTGAAATAGTCTCACTTCCTTGAAGACCATCTCTACCTTGTGAGCTCAACTGCCCGGCTCAGCTCCTGTTTCTTCACAACTCTTCACAACTTTGCTACTGGTCCAGCAAAATGCCTGAGAATCTGAGTGTAGTATCCCAGCGGGCTCTGTTCTGTCAACATCACATGTGTCATGCCCTTGTATGTCAAATAATTTGCATGTGGTCCATCACTGAACAGCAAGCTTCATAAAGGCTTTCTTTTGGGGGTTCGACTGTAGTCACAAGGGGAGGATTCCACTTAGGCTAGCTACTAGAGAGTTTATTGTGAGGCAGCCTTAGAAGCAAAGGAGAGCGATGGAAATTTCAGAACTGGCTCCATATGAAACTACCCCTGTCAGTGGTGGCTTTCTGCTGCCCTTCTCCTCTGTAGCACTGTCCTCCCGTTGTTCATTGATTTGCTCGAGCGGGCACCAGTAATATCTCCATAATGAGACTTATTGTTTTTGGCATATCGAATATACTACAGGGAGCTTGCGAGGCTCTGCTGTGCAGGCGGGATACTCCCAGTAGCTTGCCGGGCTCCCTGAGAGGGATGGAAGAATCGAGTCCGGGTCAGCTGTGTGCAAGGCAAACTCCCTACCCACTGTGCTATTGCTCCAGCCCTACTCCTCAGTCTTGTTTCTCTTTCGCCCCCACCCCATTGAACACCTCAGCTGAAGCAGTGTCTTTTGGGAACTGTGTCCTTGATTTGTCTGCAAGGCTCAGTCCTACCCCTTCAGCTCCAGAACCCACTGAATCTCAGGCTTCCTATCCTGTTCCCCGCTTAAATACTCGGGTTTCCAGTGACAGATTTCCCAATAAGCGCTCCTGTGGGCCCCTGCCAGCCACAGAAGTTCTGTGAGTCCGGTCCAGTTTTCAGGAGAAACCTCTCTCTTCTGTTTTTTTTTTTTCTCTCCCTTCCCCCTTGCTCGCCACGGAGCTAGGTTGGTGTTTCAGAGAACTCATGGTTATTCTTTGTTCTTTCTCATTCTTGACAGATATCATTAATGGAGCTCAAGAAAAATGTGTATTGCCTCCTATGGATGGCTACCCCCACTGTGAGGGGAAAATCAAGGTAAGGCAGAAGCCGTGGTAATTTAGTCCTGTCACTCTCCATCTCACTAATACTCCCTCCTTCCCTCACCTGCTCTCTTTTCATCCCCAGTGAAAAAGATGGGGAAGGGGAAGGTGGCTTGATCCTGCTAGTTTGGAATACTGTCCCTAACAATTCTCTGCCAATGCAAGTCCATGAGATACACAGAGCTCTCAGTGGTGGGGCCATCCGGCTGCCTGCAGTATCTTTGAAGCTGCTAAGCCCCATTTCCCAGCCTCTAGTCCATGGTCCTTGCAAGGCCAATGGTAAGGGCCTGCCTTTATGTAGCAGCAGTTCCCTCCTGTGAGATCTCCAGATGGTGACTGAAATGTCACATTTGCATTTGTAGTTGAATGCCAAGGGACCCCTGGTCACACTTGCACACTTAACAGCATTGTCAAGAAAAAATCCCACTTCTCTGGCTCGCCCTTCAGGACACCACTCTTGCACTCCGAGTTTAGGTTTGTTCTGAGGAAGCTGAGCTCACTCCCTGGGAGCATTCCTTGGTAGGGGATTCACACCACACTGCCCTGGTTTGGGGGTTCTGTCCAAGAAATGTGATAGTGGAGAAGAGGTTTCCAGGGAGAGTTTGGGGGGTACTTGCTCTTGCTAAAACTCTCCAAGCAGCGGGTAGGGCGTTCGATTCCCAGCATCCCATATGGTCCCCCGAGCACTGCCAGGTATAGTTCCGGAGTGCAAAGCCAGGAGTAACCCCTGTGCATTGCCAGGTGTGACCCAAAAAGCAAAGAAAAACAAAAAAGTCCAAGCATTGCTTCTCCTGAGCAATGGGCTCAGGCTACCCTAAGCTCTCCTGTCAGGGCCCAGCTCAGCATCTGCCATAGGATTTCCAAAAGTAGGGTCTGTCCTGTGTGGTTCTGGAACCCTTTGTTCAGGGTCTGAGGCCATAGATTGGGTGCCCTCCTCACCCCTTGACTCCCACCTCCGCTGTCAGCACTGAGTCCGCCCTGCTCACAGGTGTTCTCCTGTGGCTCTGTTTCAGTGGATGAAAGACATGTGGCGTTCGGATCCCTGCTACGCAGAATATGGAGTGGATGGGTCCACCTGCTCCTTTTTTATTTACCTCAGTGAGGTGAGTGACTTCTTCTGGCTTTGGGGAGGGTGGTATGGGACTGGACACCTGTGTTTGGTTAGTCTGTGTTTCCGCTGAGACCAGGGTTTAGAATGCTTGGATGTACTGTTTTCACACAGAGGGAGGGTTGATGGTTCCCATTTTCATTATTATACCTGCCCTCAAGTAATATTGCTCCCCCCCACACCCTTTTAAGAATGTGTACTAATATACACAACAAAAGTATGCTGATTTCACTAGAATGTGTCGCTGGGGGCATTCATATGGCTGAACAACCACTCCCATCCTCCTCTACTGCTAATTTTTGCAAATATCTTTCACCCTGCAACTCTGTTCATTGTCATCACTCCACATTCTGTTCTGCCTTCACTGGAACACTGGCTTCCATTCTGTATTCTCTTTCTGTAAGTATTCAAATAGGGGAAATCTTGCAACATTTGCCTTTATTTAGATGGACTTATTCCCCCCAAAATCCAGCTCCCGGAACCGCGCGGCCACATTTGCGGCCACGCGACATCTTATCAGGACATCTTTTTATGACATCTTATTATCCCATTCCTACTTTGGACAAACTTGCAGGCTATCGAATGTAGCCTGCCCACAGGGCAGAGTCTGGCAAACTCCCCGTGTCGTACCCAATATGCCAAATACCAGTAACAATGATGGGTCTCATTCTCCTAAAGAGCCTTGAATATAATCTCAGGGCTAGGATGAAAGAGACGTTACTGGGGCCTGCTCGAGGCAATCGAATAACAGGATGATGATGAATGAATGAATTCCCCCAACACCCCTTAGTATCATATCCACCGAGACAGATGTCAGAAGTTCACCATCCATTTTAAGGCTAAATAGATAGAGCATCATGAATATAGAGCACATTTGACCGCTCTATTTTTATTGATGAGCAAGTCACTTGGGTTGTTTCCACCATTTTGCCATTGTGAGCAATATTGCTATGTACATGGGTTATACAACTAATTCACTGGGACTCTACTTTTTATTCTTTACGGTCTGTGTCCAGAAGTAGAATTGCTAGTAATTCTGTTCTTACATTTATGAAGTACTGTGTAGCCCTTTCTACTGTGGTTGTAACCGTTACTACCACCAACGCACAGGATTCCAGTTTCTCTCCATCCACAATAAACCTTGTCATTGTCTGATTATTTTTTTCTTATAATATCCATCCTAATAAATATAAGGTAGTCTTTTCGTAGGATTTTCATTTGCTTTGCCTAATGATTAGTGATTTCAAGTTCCCTTTCATATGCTTATCAACTAACTGATTTAGCTCTTTGCTCCAGGCTGAGTTATTAAGTTTGACTTTTTTTTCTTTTAATCTGAGTTTCATTTTCATGGGTGTCCTTGATTGAAATGGCAGCTTATTTTAAGGGTTACAGAGCATTTTACAGACCACATGGAATTTCTTACATGCTTCAGTGATCTCCATTTCACCTTGAGGAAAATCAGAGGGATGGGAGAGAGTTAAGATTCTCTCCAGAGCAAACTAGAGGGAATAATTCTGAGCAGAGAATCGAAATTTGCTGACTTTTCCCTTTACGCTCAATGGGCAAAGTAGCCCTAATGGTTTCAGAAATGGGTACTGGTAGCTGATTTCAGGGGCTATGTGTTCTCTTGGCTGACTTATTTGTTTGTTCACCTGTGTTTTAATTCCCCCTGATTTTGCATGTTCTTGCTGTTTGTTCAATAGTTAGCAGTTTCCGGGTGCTGCCTGGTGGTGTGGAAATAGCCTCCATTTCTGAGGCTGAATTCATTGCCTTTCTCGTAATTGTCCTTGAGAGGTTTAGGGGCCTCCTTTCTCTGTACCACAATGAATAGAGTTGGTTTGTATGGAGTTCCAGATAAAACTGATACAGCTCCATGCAACTCTGAATTCTCTGCAGCTGTCCTTCCCTCCCTCTTTACGTCTCCTTCCTTTCAAGATCCGGTCATATATATTAAGGGGGCAAGATTACACCAAGACCATCCCCAGGCCACCATGGGAATCCTCAGTGGATGATAATTAAAATACCAGCTTGGTAATTCAAAGTACCACGAGTTGGGTACAGGCGAGCATCATTGGCAGGTGGCTTGCAAGCTGCTTTTATGGTGCTTCTGTATGAGCTTGGGTCTCCTGGAGCTGCCCCTTCAGGTCATTCTGTGAGAATAAGCCCCGGGGCCCTGAGTGAACCTTCACTCCTGTAAGAAGTCAGTGAGAAATAAATTTTCCTGCCTGGAGGAAAAGGTACCTCATTCAGTTTAATATTCAAAAGTTTTTTTCCCTTTCCCATTTGATAGAATTTAGCCACAGTCCAGCAGTGCTTCCTGATTGACAAGCTGAGCTAATTTCATGGCTTCCTAAGAGTCTGCATGTCAGGCTGAACTGCTGAGAAAAGTTTTTAGATTCCCACCATGGTGGTTCTGAGCAGGTGCAGAAGGAGATCGTGGAAAAGCACTACTGTTGTCTGGGTCCCAGACCCCTTCCTGTAAAGTGGCCACCTGGAACCCACTCCCCCCCAAAAATGGATGTTGCTAAGATGGGGGAAAAAAATAAAGAATCGACAAAACTAAATCAAGAGGAGTGTGGATAAGCAGGGCTGTATGAAGAAGATATGGGCCATATAGACATGATGGAGTTTTGGTTTTTCACTTCTGAGCTACTTTTTCCTTGTTTCAAGGTGGGGAAAGGTACTTCATTAGCCTGTTTATTCTCTTATTGCAGATGATGAGGTTTTTCAGCTCAGTGAGTGCTTATTGAACAGTTATTGTAGTCATTGATTGTCAACAATTACTGAGAACAGATTTTCTTGGCATCCTGTGGGGTATTCATTATTTTAAGAGTCAAATGAAAGAGAAAGAATGGATGTGGGTAATTGAGCCAGTAAGGGGTAGAGATCATTCCTCTGGAGAGAGATTCAAGGACTTCTTTTTCTTATTTATAATTTGGAAATAACCTTTGAACTCTGACATTTCAATTTTTCCCCCATTTTATCATAGTATCATAACAGGTATATCTATAAGTTTTAGAATGGAATTTCACCAAAATGGTCACTTTAGGAGGGAGTGCTACCTTGTCTGATAACTGACTTGTGCTTCTGTATCTCATGTTTTCTAATCTCTGCGCTGGTGGAAAATTTACCTTCCCTTATGAATGTTCTCATTCGCCTGTTGTATATCCAGGAAAATAAAAGAAGAGTATAAATAATATCAGTTGATAGAAAACTCTGGGTACTGGAATATAAAATGAGACCATCAGATTATGGGGAAGAGGGAGGTGACACAGGGTCATGCGTGGGTGGTCTTGGACCTTTTGATGGTGGTGCAGTGAAGAGACTGTACACTAAGACCTAAGTCAACACTGTATCTAAGTCAACACTGTAGGTAGCACATTGCCTTTACTATAATAAATTAAAAAGAAAAAAGTTACTTCTCTTTTGGGGGCCTTAGACCCTTTCTATATAGTCATTTCAATATTGCTTGCTTTTCTAAGTATCTTACTAATTTAAGTATTCTACTATAATTATTCCTGAGTACAGGAATATGATTAAAATAGAACCTAACAGATAGAAGATGCTCACCAAACATAGCTGTTTAAAAAAAAAAATGTTTTGATGTTGTTGTGGCTGTGACTGAGTCCCGGAGGTCTTCAGCTACCAGGGCTCTACTCAGGGTGAAGAGGGAAACTCAATCTGCTCCCCTTCCAAGGGACCTTGGTGAGGACAGCCAGGCATGGGGGCAGGGGATTCTGCTTTGTTCTCTTCCGGGAGCTTGATTTTATAGTCTCTGGATCTTGGCCATTGATGGGGTTACATGGCAGTTCGTGGATGTAACTGTCTAGCTACTGGAAGATGGGGCATCTGGGTGGAGGAGGCCCAGTCCCAAACCGAGCTGGCTTGGAGATCTCAGCCCTGTGTCCTGCACACCTGGGATCCTCTGCCGGTTTCTTCATGCATGAGGCTTGTCCTAGCTCATCCATGCTGAGACCGCTTTCCACACGCTAGGACGATGACCTCTTATCATCTAGTTCTCACTCTCAGAGAACCCAGCAGGCTACCGAGAATATCCTGCCTGCATATATGCCTGACTGGGAACACCTGTGAAGGTGATCTACCCGTGGAGTACTTGATATGCCAAAAACAGTAACAATGATGGTCCTCATTACCCTGACCCTGAAAGAGCCCCCAATATGGCATCAGGCTACACTAGCACACGACACGGATGAATGGAGATGTTACTGGCGCCTACTCAGGCAAATCGATGAACAACGGGGTGATAGTAATAGTGATGTTGTGATTTGAGGATACGTTGGGCTATCACTTAGTCTGAAACATTTCATATGGTTACCCAGGCTCTACGTTAGAGAATTAGGATTCATATATCATTCCTACTTACAAGTCTGATTTTAGATCTTATATTACCTTGTAATGTGGAAATGAGCTGTTTTTCTTGAATCCTTTTTCCTGGCTCTGAATTTCTGTTTGCATTAAAACTGTGAGCTAGATATGCAAGCAGCAGGCCACCCCTGCTGATGTTAATTTAAAATGATTAGAGATGTTTGCTAAGGCCAGTTCATTCCTCTGTAGTTTGTTTTAAATCTAGGACATCAGTGACTTTGTAGTGTTGTTTGTTCAGCTCGCTTTATTTTTCTCTTATTTTCTTGAAAGTTTTTTTTCTTTGGCAACTTCGTTTTACCTGAAACTTGTTTATACCAGGCACCCTGTGCCAGGCTTCTCTTGTGCTTGCGAAAAAGATTCAGGGAAATATCTTCATGTGATTTCTTTGCTTGATCAACAAGGTAACCGTAACTCTTTTTCTCAGTGCTTATTGAAAACAGTTCTTGTTTCCAATTACATTTAACTTCAGAATTTTGCCAGATATGAAAAATGAAGTGAAACGTGTTTCATCTAGTCACTCTCCAGCTGACCAGTCTAGGAGGGAGACAGCACTCTTCCTTCATTTTTCTTCCCCTGATTGTCTCAATGTGCCAACTTCCACTGAATCAT